CTCGCACCGCCGGAGTTCAGACTTCCCCACCGCCGGAGTTCAGACTTCCCCTCTGCGAGCGAGGACGTCAAATCGAAAATAACTTTCCCCCGAAAGATAAATTTACGCTCCGTGACAACGTTGCGGTCGCCTGGATACCCACAAAGAAAATTTCTATGGGTCTGCCGCGGTGGGCGGAGCTCAGTGCCCATTGAGGAGAAAATAAATCTTTGTGATTGCCTCCCCGGCTCTGTTCGGGATTTCCCCTCACTTCCTGTTTTGCCAAACAGGAAGTAAGGAAAAATCCGCAGCAGGAAGCCAACGGGGAGTTCTATCCCTCCCCTATGTGACTATTGCTGTTAGCGTTTCTTTCACTTCCTGTCTGGTGATAAGGCGGTCCCGGGGACAGGAAGTGAGGAGAAATCTCTTTAACGGAGCCCGACAGCAATAAAACCTGACAGGGGGGTCTAATCCTTTTCCATGTTTTCCAAAACTAACTAAAGAACTTCCTTCACTTCCTGTCTGGTGATAAGCATGTACCAGCGACAGGAAGTAAGGGAAAATCTCTCTAATGGAGCCATGGACAGCAATAAAACCTAATCCTTCGAGCTTCCTTCACTTGCTGTCTGGTGATAAGGTTGTCCCAGCGACAGGAAGTGAGGGAAAATCTCTCTAACGGAGCCATGGACAGCAATAAAGCCTAATCATATGAGATTCCTTCACTTCCTGTCTGGTGGAAAAGTTGTCCCAGGAACAGGAAGTGAGGGGAAATCTCTCTAATGTAGCCATGGACAGCAATAAAGCCTAGATTCCTTCACTTCCTGTCTGGTGAAAAGGTTGTCCCAGGGACAGGAAGCAATGGCAAATGTATCTAATGGAGCCCTGGAAAGCATTAAAACCTGACAGGGGGTCTAATCTTATAAGCTTCCTTCACTTCCTGTCTGGTGGAAAGGTTGTCCCAGGGACAGGAAGTGACAGCAAATCTCTCTAACCTTGCAGGGGGGTCTAATCCCTTCTCAAGCTATTCAAAACTAATAATGAGCTTCCATCACAGAGATCCCTTTACAGAGATCTCCTCTCACTTCCTGTCCCTGGGACAACCTTAGCACCAGACAGGAAGTGAGAGGAGATCTCTGTAAAGGGGCCCCAGACAGCAATAAAAGCTGACAGGTGACCTAATCCTTCCTATCACTCTCCAAAACTAATGAGCTTCCTCCACTTCCTGTCTGGTGATAAGGTTGTCCCAGGGACAGGAAGTGAGAGTAGATCACTGTAAAGGGGCCCCAGAGAGCAATAAAACCTAACAGGTGGTATAATCCTATGAGCTTCCTTCACTTCCTGTCTGATGATCAGGTTGTCCTTGAGACAGGAAGTGAGAGGAGATCTCTGTAAAGGGGCCCCAGACAGCAATAAAACCTGACAGGTGAACTAATCCTTCCTATCACTCTCCAAAACTCCTTCACTTCCTGTCTGGTGATAAGGTTGTCCCAGAGACAGGAAGTGAGAGGAAATCTCTCCAACAGGGCCCATTTGTTCCATTGTAAACCGTTTCTCGCGATCTGAGAGGGGAGATTGTATGAGGCGGAAGGGACTTTTATGAGAATAGCAGAACTTCTGGAAATGTCGGTATTTTCCAGGCGGCGTTCTCTTCCGGGAAGCCGCAGAAAGTTACACATTTGTATCTAAATCCCGTCAGATGTTTATAAACGAAGACACGTTTGGAGGAAGTCCCATGGCTTCTACTAAACACCCCACTGGAGGCCATCACCCCTGTAAAGGCCCTAAGGACACCCTGTATACAGAGTGGGGGAGGGACTCCAGCAGGGCCACCTACCGGCTCTGTACTTGCCTGTCCTGTATGTAGGAAGGTGAGGCCTCCACACTGGCTGCCTCCTGGAGGGTGGAGGGAGGTCACATGACCTGAGCAAAGCCTTGCTGGATCTTAAAGTGGTATAGAATTACCTCTACACTCTACAGCGCCCCCATGTGGTGCCACCACCGATGATCGATAGTGACAGATATGACGCGGGCCGTAAATCTGAGCTTCCCCCCCCTCCTCCTGGTAGATGCATTACCTGTCAGTCCGGCCGGTAAATCTGTTATGCCGTGCGTCCGGCCAGTAAGTCCGTTATGCCGTCCATCCGGCCAGTAAGTCCGTTACGGTTTAACGGTTGGCTTTAAAGGCACAGTCCGCCTTTTGGGAAAATGATGAAACAAATGGGCGAAAATTATATAATAAAAAAAAAAAGTGCATTTGTCGAATGGAAGGAAGCCCGCAGAGCATCG